GCTACTAGTCTCAGTTACTCATTCTTGTTCTTTCTTTATTCATGGCTGCATTTTTTGGCCTGTCTCCCGGTCATCGAATGCAGCTTCAGTACCAGTTGAGATTTCCGGTTTGTTATAGAAGATCCCTATGCAGGTATGGGCGTCGGTGTTGCTTTGATGTGTTTTGTAAGTATTTTCACTAACGGTTTCATGGATATTTAAGCTGCCAAGCACCTGCACATGAAAGCTTACAAAAGGAAAAAGTTTAAAGAGCTTGCCGATTAAAGTAACTAAGAAATTCCTCTCCGTTCCACAAAGACAGGGAAGAAACCCAAAACTCTAAAATCACACAACATAATCTGGTTTGTAAGGGCAGGTAATGTGATAGACAGAGCAGTGGCTCTCAGATTTGAGTGTGTCAGGATCCTGTGCAGTTTGTCAAACACACACACTGCCTGAAGCCCAAACCCCCACCAAGTTCTCGGAATGGTCTGAGATTTCACAGAGAAGGTTCCCAGGTGGCACTATGTTGGTTTGGGTACCACACTTTCAGAACCAAAGGTTTAGAGTGTCAATGGAAATAGAATATGAGCCACATAGATAAGTTTATGTTGTCTAGTCGTCACTTCAATAAAAGCAAGACAATTAATTTTAAGAATATAGCTTCTTAACCTAATACATTCAAAAATGTCATCGATTGATGTAAAACCTGCCAATGGGTATTTACATTTATACTAACTCTTCAAAATTTGGTGAGTATTTTATATATTCACAGCACATCTCAATTTCAACAAGTCCCTTTTCAAGGGCTCGCTTGCTGGACTGGGGAGCACAGGCTTAGAGCACTCTCCAGAAACACTAAATAAGGCAGACTAGGTCCCAAGCTTCATTTAAAAAAAAAAAAAAAAAGGCCTAAAATGTAAGATGCTGCTGGGGAGAGGGAGGGAGGAGAGAGAAGTTATCTGACACCCCTGGTCACAGGAGACTAGGTAGAGTCTATGCATTGCGCATGCCTAGCCAAACAGAGATATTTTGCTTGTTATTTGATTAAAGAAACAAAAAGCAAATAAGAAGTAAACAAAGCAGCAACTGGACCTTCCAAGGATTCTGGGGCATGCTGGAAGCCATGTTTTATATCATGAGTTGAAGGTGACAGAGAAGCAGAAGCAAGTGGCAAGGTGAGTAAGTGTCCTGGGATGTCCCAGTCCCTGGCCCCAGCAGCCTCCCTGGGCTCCACTCTGGCACCCTGGTCCTGCCTGGTAACATGGGAGCCTTAGCATCTGCTCAATATTATTCTTGTCCGCAAAGCTAGCTCAAGCAAATGTTTTGTCATATGCAACCAAGGGAGTCCTGACTAAAGGACTTGGGCCTGGCAAAGGGCTGAATGAAGAGGTCTGTCTGTATCAGAGCACCACAGCTGATTTCCTCTCCTGTTTGGACTCAAGCAGAACAGTACAGTGAAAATTCACAGTAAATTCCCATCCCTGTGGGTCCCTGTTCCTCCACCTGTTCTCGTGCTGTTCCTTCAGCTATGCCAACTGAAGTTTTTTTTTTTTTTTACTTTGTGGCTTTGTCTCTGTTTCTCTATGTTAAAATAGCTAAAATATATTTGTCCATGTCATATGTATCCATTTTCTTATAACGCAAATGCAGTAAGATGTTAACTGTAGAATCTGGGTGGTGGTATGGAGGTGTGTTCTGTATATTTATAATTTTCAAAGTAAAATATTGAGGGGATGAGGGAATCTATTTGCCTTTCGGTCCATTGCTATTTCCTTTTCTCTTCTGGATTTTTAGTCATGTTTCTCTATCTGCAACGATAGGTGTGTGTGTTGTGGTGGAAGAATGATCAAAACAGGGGAACAAGATAGGAACTAGAAAGATGTAGGTATAGGCAGTGCTGTCTGTCTGTCATTCTCTTTTATATAATTAGGCTTGAAGATCCCAAGAGTCAGAAGTAAGAGCAGAAATTCTCTAACATGAGTATTTACTTTTTCCCTGGCATTTCCCCTCATAGAACAAATTTCAAAAATGCTTACCTGGCAGAAGTGGCCAATATTGTTTAACACTTTTAGAAAACTATTTTTATATTCCAGGAACACTAATGGTTTGCTATTGGGGAAGTGCATGTATTGATTTAAGATCTAAATTAAAAATGTCTCCCCAGAGTGTTACAGGTCAAAGATAATAAAAACAAAAATCTTGGAGATAATGATTGACTCCAGAATAACAGACTAATGAACAAAATTATAGGTAGAACAGTTTATTCACATTTATTCCTCCTGGCAAATTACCCTCATCTTGGTGCTCAGGACAGCTCCACATTTTACCTGTGGTTTCTCAGCTGGCAAGTTGGCGGAGCCAGGACTCAGCTCAGCTTGGGGTGAGCCACCAAGAACATGCTCCTTCTATCCCAAGACCCCATCATATTGCTGCTCCCAGAGAACCAGAGTACTTGGGCATTCCAGTGTCCTGAGGGCCTGCTGGGAAGCAGGCACTTTTCTAGGCTGAGGGATGTAGACCGTGAAACAAACTATAAAGCAGATATCCCCTCTCTGTGGGTCTTACATTCCAGCCCCATACAGGGGTATGTGATGGAAGTAAGAGACAAGAAGGAAAGGCAGGCAGGCAAGGGGATGTTTCCCATAGCGTAAAGTATCAGGATGCTGTGTGATAAGGTGGCATTGGAGAACAGACTATAGGGGAGCAGGAGGGAGAGGAGGAGGGAGACAGGGGGAGCTGTGAGCACCCTGTTGCAGGAGCACACCTGACTCGGGGCAGGACCATGAGCTGGGCACCACCAGATGGTGGCCGGAGTTCAGGAAGACTGGGCAGGTAATACATCTGAGAAGGAACAGGTCCAGATCCCCAGAACCTCACTGGCTGTTCAAGGACTTTGCTTTTCAACCTAAGTGAATGGGGAGAGACCCTAGAGGGTCTTAAGCAGAGAAATGACCAGACAGTGTTAAGAGGACCACTCTGGATTCTGTTGAGAACAGAATGTAGGATGCAAAGACCAAAGCAGGGCAATCATATGGGAAGCTCAAGAAGGGAGGGTGGTGGCATGGCCTTGGTAGCAAGGGGAGGGAGCGGGAGCTGGGGATGACATCTATTTTTAAGGGAAAAGTGATGGCATTTTGCTGATGGACTGTGGAATTTGAGAAAGAGGGTTCAAGAATGATGCTGTGGGCTATGGTCTGACTCACCAAAAAAGGATAGAGTTACTATTTACTCAAAAGGGAAGATTCAGAAGCAGGTTTGGGTGTGTGTGTGGGGGGGGGGTGACAAGAAAGATGGAGGAGAAGGAATCAGGGTTGTTTTCTAGGAACCTTTTAGACACTATGATATTGTGATATAGGAAATATATCTGAATGACCAAACATGTATTTCTCATATATATTTGGTCTTCAGTCACAGTTCCTGTCTCATAGCACCCCCCGCCCCAAGTCTCGGAATTTCCTAAGTGGTGAGGGCATTAAAGGCACCTCTTATTATAATGAGATAACCATTGGGAAACTCCTGAGGATGGGGACTGGTTGCCAGGGAAACCAACCACTGATTAAAGAGTTGGAATTTCCAGTTCCTCCTCCTTCTGTCTGGGGAGTGGAGAGGTGTTAGAGACTGAGTTCAATCACCAATAGCTAATGAGTTAATCAATCATGCCTATGTAATGAAACATCCACAAAAACTCAAAAGGGCTTTCGGGGTTTCTGATGGGGATTTGGAGAGAATCTAGGTGCCTAGAGAGGGCAGGGTAGTTCATACATTTTCTCCATACCTGTACTATGTTTCTCTTTTTTTAGCTGTTGATTCATATTCCTTAGCCTCCTTTGTCATAAATCAGAGATCCAGTAAGCAAATGGGTTCCCTGAATTCTGAATGCTGTCCTAGCAAATTAATGGACCCTGAGGATGGAGTCACAAGAGCCAGAACTGCAGGTGGCAACCTGGCACTTTCGACAGTGTCTGAGTAGAGAAGGCTTTGAGAGAAGGAGCCCTCAAGCTGTGCAATCGGATGCAGTCTCCAAGAAGATAGTGTCAGAATTGAACCGAACTGAGTTGGGCCCAGAGTATCACTTCATTTTATATATGAAAAACAATGTGCGTGTGCACTGTGCCTTCTAAGAATAACAAAGGAAGACTGCACTTGGCTTCAGAACTTTACCCAGAGTGTCCATCTTTTCAATATACAATCACGTCACTCCCTTAACATCTGTCGGGTTTCTAAGTCATGGACAGGACAATGCTGACTGAGTCTGCCTTAGCGCAGCCATGTACGGAGTGCTCTGAGGAGCGTCCCAGACCCTTAAGCATGGCCATGTTCAGGAACGTGCAGGTGGCAAATATGGATCGTTTCATTATAAACTATTTCCCTTTTATATTGGCATTATATTGATTTTTCAAAAGTATTGTGTAGGTAGGTCATACTGCCTCTGAATTTCATTTCCAGACAGTAAAGGAGGTGTAGGGTGTGGCATAGTAGCTAGAAAGAAGATGAGGCCTGAGGACTGTGCCTCAGTGCACCTGACTTTGGAAACCCAGGGGCTGAGGAGGCAGTGGCAGTGGAGACTGGGGAAGAGGGTGGCCAGTGGGGAGAAAGAAGACACGGGGGAAAGGCATTCCCACATAGAGGGCATTGCCAGCAGGGTTAACCATCCTAGACATCAAGCAAGACAGAGAATCGACAACCGGATTATCATAGCTGTGATAATCTGTCATGATCAGGCCTTCAGGCCTTCACCTAGAAGGGGCTGGGGACAAAACCCTGATTGGAAAGTCAGTATAATTCAGGCTGAGGGATCTTAATTACTCTCTTAAATATTTTGTAGATTTCCTTTCTCTCTATTCACCCCCTTTGCTCTGTTCCTTTAGGTCAGGATATGCTGGCCTATATGGGGCCCTCCTCAGAGCCTTCTTCCCTGCCCTGTGGGGTCATGGCTTTGCTTACTGAACTCTTCAAGCCTCCCCAACAGAGCCACCAGAGGTTCCCAGCATCCTCACCCTATGTGGTTTATTCTATACCTTGCTCAGTCGGGACTCAAACGCCAAAGAGGTTGAAGATTTAGAACTCTTCATGCCGGAAGAGGCTGTGGGGAGAGGCCGCACACGGTCTGTCCCATGGTTCCCGGCTCTGGTGGCTGGACTCCAGGGCTTGGCTGCACTCCTCATGTTGTCCTGGGAAGTCTGGCTTTCTGTAGAAGAGCAGAAAAGAGAAACACCCGTGTCCACTGGTTGAACTTGCTGAGTGACATCGTAAAGTTTTATGTCCATTAGCCATTTCCACCATTGTTATCAGAGAACAAGTCCTTTTGGTTATTCAGTTGCATATAGATGATGCCTCAGCACTGAGTTCTACAGTTTCACAACAGCTCTCACCAAACTATTAAAACCTGTGCAATGGGATTGATGTTCTGACACACCTGTTCTGCTTCATCTTGGTCAGGGACACCTAACACAACGTTACTGTATATTATATGTTAATATATGTGTGTGTGCATGTGGTATCTATGCCTCATATAAAACAGGTCAGCTTGAGTTACGACCTGCTAGGTCCATAAGCCTTGTAACTTTAGGTTTGTCCGTGGAGCAATCTTTACATAGACATAAATGAATCACTTGAAACTTATATTTCACAGAAGCACAACTTTTGTTTTCTTTTGGATAAAATGGATATCATTTAAAAAATCAATAAAGTACATTTTAATTGGTTAGACCTGACAATACTGGGCAGAATTGCCACCCTAACTAAACAAGCTTATGGGGAAAAAGTTGTGCAAAGAAGCAGGGTACAGTGAAAGTCTGCAGGGGCAAATCCAATCCAAAAACACAGAAGCCAGCTGGGCCTGGGGTCGCCCGTTGTTATTCCTGAGCGAGGTGTGCAGGCCCCTCCACTTTGCTTAGTCCTTTCCTTCTGTCACCAACATAGTGGCACTGCATTCAGTGCCCTCGAGGGTCTCATGCAGCTCCATCCCTTACTGCTGTGGACATCATGGACTCTAGTGAGAGAGCCCATGAGAGAAAATTCCAAAACTGCAGACAATGCTCCATCCTCTCCAAGAAACAAACCGCTTTTAAGAAAACACTGGCTAGGGTCCTCCGTGGTGGAGAAACAGGTTAAAGCACAGAACTATGAAGCTAGCCTCAGCTGCTTCAGTACCCTGGCCAGGGAGGTGACCCACATGGCACAGTGGACCTCCTGTTTCACTTGCTGCTCCCCTCAGCAGTGTACTTTACCAATCTGCCTGTTATGCTCCCTACTTTGTCTCTGGTAAATCCTGTCACCGCCTCTGCACCTCTGGCCTGTACCCTAGTTCGGTATGAATAAATAAACAAATCTTTAAAAGCAAAAACACTGGCTAATTCCAGTGGCCACACTCATAGGACCCGGAGGTCTAATTAACTGCCTCTGAGAGATCATGGTTGGGCTTCTTCTCTTCTCACTCATCCCAGTACACCCCGTTAGCCACCTGAAGGAAAAAACAACAGACCGCCTCCCTAGCCTAGCTAAAGCTGTGACCGTCTTCTGTTTTTTCTCCTCCTGGCTGGAGTAAACATCTCGATGTCTTTCAACAAGGGCTACCGAGTCCCACTCCTACTTGAATGGATTGGCTGGTGTGATGTGTCTGGGTCTACCTGGAACTCATTCTGCAACACTGCTATCCTAACAGCTTTGTGAATGTGGCTACAGGTAAAAATATCTTTAAAAATTCTGTCATTTTTTCGATAGCACTTCACAGAAAAATTTTCATAATTTCAATTTTATGATTAGTTTGGAGCCTCATTAGTCTTAACTTAGTTGCAGGTATCATGAATATTTGTTTAGTTCTGTAGGACAAAAAAACACCTTACTTGTCACATATTTTACTCTTGTTTAGTGCCAATTATTTATCTTTTCAACCCACAATTTCTAATTCTGGTTTCCATAGCAACAATGAGAGAATTCCTATGTGAAGACCTATACAGTAACTCATTTTATTAGGATTTCCAATTAAAGTGAACTAAGTAGATTGAATCATTCTTGGAGAGAATTACTGATGAATTTTACCAATTTCTACAGAACCAGCCAGTACCTATCAGCCAGTCTCATGGAGATGACAAATAAAATATCTGCTTAATCAAGGCATCCTTTTATTTTATGATAAAACTCCTTAGAAATTACTATTACTGGGGCCTTCCTGGTAGTGTAAGAGATTAAGTCTTAGTACTATGAAGCTATTGGCAGCCACTGCAGCATGAGTTTGATCCCTGGCCAGGGAGCTGACCCACAAGTCTCAGCAGACCTCTCCTGTCTTGCCTGCTGCTCCCCTCAGCAGTGTGTTTCAGTAGATGCCTGTTCTATCTTTGGTGAATCCTTTCACCTCTCCCCCCCACACCTCTGGCCTATTTCCCAGCTCTTGTATGCATGAAATAAATTTTATTAAAAAAATAAATGACTATTACTGGGTTTACTTTGTGGAAACATAAAATGATCCTATAATGCAGCTTCATTTTCCTCAGTCTGCCCAAGTTAATCTCTGAAATGAATTGCCTCTTATTTATTCTGCAAAAGAAAGATAAGAATGTGAAGATGAAAGGCAACAGGAAGAGAATGGAAATTTTTCTCATAATTGTTTTCCTAATGTTTCAGGAGTTTAAGTCCTTGGTTTCAAAAAAAAAGTCATCTCTGTCAAAACACAAGATCTAAATTCCCCTTGATCTCTGGCAACAAATTCTGGACAGTGTGTTCAAAAACATGCAATCATTTTTCAAAGGTGAAAAATGAGTTACCTGCTCAAAGTCAAAGTACTCAGGATCACTTCATTTGTATCATCACACCTTTCTTTACTTCCTAGAACCTTCTGAACCCAACCAAAGTATTCCCAAGTAAATACACCCAGGAAAATTCTCATTTGTTTATCATGTTCTCTTTTCTTTGCTCACTTCCTTCTCCTTTCCCATCATTTTTCCCAGACTGAGCCTTATATTATGTACCCCCATTCACCAGTCAGATTCTTTTCTTTAAATTCTACCATTTTTCAGAATTCAAAATATACAGAAATAGAACGATGAATATCCTACTCACTTGCACCAGGAAGAGTTCTGTGAGCAGGTATGAAGAGCTGTCCGGAGCAGTAATGGGTCGCTTTCCAGCAACGAGAGGATGAGAGCTGGCCGCTGAGTAAAGCAGAGCTTGCCCTACTCTCCAGCCACATTACCCAGCAGCTTTGCTCCCTGTCCCCCACTCTCATGGCTTAGAAGGTTATTCAGCACTGCCTGGCCTCTACCCCAGCCTGCACTGGAGTCTTCCTAGTGTTCCCCACATCCTCTGGAGGCTACTAATTCCCTGGCTTTCCCATCCCCAGTCCCGGCCTCTTCTGGAACAGACTGGAAAAGTTCCCCCTCAAAGTTGTCCCCCTAAAGCTCTGAACCTGCTCTCTTCCCTTCCAGGAAGCCCTCCTGCTGGAACAGGAGCAGATACCCCAGGTCCACTCAGTCTACTTCCCAGCGCTCTGTCACACTCCCTCGGCCCTTACCCCAGCAGAGCTAGCTGGCAAAGGGAGTCAGCTAATTAAATAGCGCTGTAGTGACAGGAAAGCAGCTGCCTACTCCAATCTGAGCCTAGCCAGGCACTGCTCCGTGCTCTTCATGACTTCTCATTAGGCCCTCACCATAGCCCTATAAAAGTGCCACCCCCAATGTATACATAGGGAAATTGCTTGGCTCCGGGAGGTTAAGCCACTTGCCCAAATCACAGAGTTCATGATGAAGCTAGGATTCAAATGCAGTTTTAATTGGCTCCTAAACGCCAGAGATGGACACAGCCTCTCTGAGTAATCTTTGCTCCCATGAGAAAACATGAGGGCTTCCAGTCTTCATCCAGCTGCACTATGTATGCTGTGAACTTGAGGATGCCCTTCAGCACCATGACTCTCAGCAGCTTCATCCCCCCAAACTGAGTTAATAATGCTACTTTGCAAAGCTGTGAAGACTGAAGGGGGACGTGGGTATGAGATCTGGGCACCCTGAAGGTACTCAACGAATATTAGCTGCCTTCCTGGCAAACAGTTCATGATGTTCCCCGAGGGCTGTTTGGCTTTATTAATGCAACAATACATAGTTGATGAATCAATAAAATCAGTGTTCCATAGCAGGAGCCATCGGATTTAAGGAAAGCATGCTTCTCATACACAGAGCATCCTGTTTTCATGTGGAAATGTGGAAGAGGGAAAGGAGTGAGGAAAATAAACACCAACCGCAGACACCTTAGAGTCATTAGAACTGGCCTCAGCCCTAATACACCCTAGCTGCTGAAAGATAAACACAGGTGCGAAGGCGGGGTGGTTGTGATTTAGGAACAGAAAATAAACAGAGAAGGGCTCTGGCCAACGACAAGAAAATGGAAAAAAAAAAAAGAAAAGGTTTCAATTATTAATATTCTAGCTTCTGAAAAGCCTCCCCTAGATATCCCAAAGGATCAAACTGGCCAAGGGATCACAATTAACTCTAGGAAGCCACTCACACAACGGAGGGAAGAGGACCTTTCCAGGAGTGTTTTCTTTAAATTTCCCAGATGCTTGATTTTCTTACCAAGCTTAAGACTACAGCTAGGGGTCTGGGCACTGGGAGACAACACCACAGCCTGCGGGCATAGCTCCCAAAAGTCACTGTGCTACTTAGTCCCCACTTTCAGGGCCCCTCTTGGAGAAGCTGAGTCCATGTCTTGGGTTTACTATCCTTTTAAGGCAAGAAAACTAAGAGGCGACTGGGAAAACAGTCTGAACTATCGCAGAATAATAAGAGTCTCTGTGAGTGGGAGAGGGCATCGAGGTCTCGACAACAAGTACAATAAGCACCAGGAAGCGGAAAGCTAAAGCATTCAAGTCTGAGAACTAACATAATAAGAATGTTCACATAGCTCAACTACCAGGGGACTCGGCAGGAAGTAGAATGTAAGTGAATAGTTGAAAATATCTAGTTGAGCGTGCTCCCGACCTCTTCAACAGCAGTGGCTGAGAGCTGGAGCATATGGGTGGGCTGGCAAATCTCTCCCAGGGGACATTTGGCAACGTAGGGTGGTGTTTTTGGTTGTCACACTTGAGTGCTACTGGGTAGACCCAGAGAAGCTTCCAGAGATCCTTTAACTGAAAGGGCAGCCCTCAATCTAAATACGTAGCTTGACTTAAAATATCAGTGGCTGGGGTTGAGAAATTTCAGTTCTAGAGGAAGGAGAATACACAGAGGCTGGGTCTTAGACACCTGATTCATTTCCCATTTAACAACGAAATGCTAACACTGAAATTCTGGTTTGGGAGCAACTCAGGGGAATCCAGACTTCAGCTGAAGGTCTGAGGAAACTCTTCAAAGCTTATTATTTCCTAAGGCCTCGAGAGGAAAAATCATTGCATTAGCCTTAGGCTGCTCCTGGTAAGTAAGGCAAAGAACAGATTTTTACACAGCATCAGAAGAAAAAAAACTACAAACTAAAGTTCATTTAGCCCACCAGCTGAAATCACTTAAATAAAACAAGAGCCAAGAAGTGGTAAAAGAGAAACTAAACTTAAAAGAATATTTGTATCTCACTTACTATACCATCTCACATCTCAAACCGGAAAACAAACTTACTCTTTTTCTTAATTTATTTTTATTTATTTATGCATACAAGAACTGGGGTGTAGACCAGAGGTGCAGACAGTGAGAGGATTCATGAGAGAGAGAGTGGAGAGTAGAAGAAGCGGACTGACTGAAATCCACTGCCGAGGGGAGCAGGGGACAAGTTAGGAGAGGTCTGCTGTGCCATGTAGGTCAGCTCCCTGGCTGGGGATCAAACTCCTGCTGCCGTGGCTGGCAATAGCTTGATAGCACTGAGACTTTAACCCGTGTGCCACCAGGGAGGGCCCCCAAACTTACTTTTAAAATTAAATAAGAACTTGGAGAAACTATGAAGCCCTGCCAGAGGGTGGAGATGCATGGCAAACAGCCCATAATCTGGGGTAAGAAACACAAGAGGAGTCGAGTCACTTAATATGTAACACAGAACCCAGAGAGAGGCTGTCATCTGGGAGCTATATTGAGATGAAACAAACTCGCTGCCTGGCTACCCTTCCATCCCCACCGCAGAACCATGAAGCTGGCATTCCAAAGAGTTGGAAGGACACTAACCAGTAATTTCCTTACCTATAATGTGGCTTCCCATCAAAGAGCTGCCAAGGCAATAGAAAAGGAGCTGGAAGTAAAATACATCAAGAGCTCTCTCATAGGGATAGTTTCAAAAGGTCTATTGAAGAGTAACATATTGCCAAGACCATTCAATGGGAAAGGACAGTCAAGTGCTGAGAAAAGTGAATATCCACGTTATTTAAAAGAACCAAATTGGACACTCACCATACACTATATACAAAAATTAACTCAAAAATGGATCCAACACCTGAAAAAAAGGCTAGAACTGTAACACCATTAGAATAAAACAAAGGGGAAAAGTTCAAGACATTGAATTTGACAACAAAGTCTTAGGTATGACACTAAAAGCACAGGAAACAGGGCTCTCCCTGTGGCCAACGGGTTGAAGCGCCGCATTATGAAGCTCTCAAGTCACTGCAGCTTAAGCTCAACCCCCCACCAGGGAGCTGACCCACATGGCGTGGCTGACCTTTCCTGTCTCGCCCCCTGCTCCCCTCAGCAGTGTACTTCTTCGATCTGCCTGTACTACCCCCCACTGTGTCTCTGGGGAATCTTCTCACCCACCACTCCTCTGGCCTGTACCCCAGTTCTGTATGCATAAATAAATAAATCTTAAAAAAAAAAAAGCACAGGAAACAAAATAGATAATTAGACTGTCAAAATTAAAATCTTTGTGTCTTTCAAAAAGACGCAACCAACCGAGTAAAGGGGTAACTCATAGATCAGAAGGAAATACTTGCGGACCCTTTCTCTGTTAAGAGAATTGCTATGGACTGAATTGTGGCCTCTTTTCCCCCCAATTCATAAATTTCAACTAATCCCCAATGTGATTGTATTTGGAGATGGGGCTTTCGGAGGTAATTAAGATTCAATGAGTTTGTGGCCTTATAGAAGAGGAAGAGAGCATCTCACTCATGCTCTTACATGAAGGCCAAGTGAGGCCATGTGAGCAGGCAGTCATCTGCCGGCCAGGACAGAGAGCCTCACAAAGAACCAAAGCATTTCCCTTAAGTCATTCAGTCTGTGCAGTGTGTTGAGGCAGCCTAAACAGATTAAGATAGAGTTAACATCCAGAATAGTAAAGAACTCTTAAAAGTCAAACCCGATTAAAAAATGGACAAAGGACTTGATTAGGCATTTTCCCAAAGAAGATATACAAACAGCCAGTAAGGACAAGAAGCGATGCCCAATGTGACTAGGGAAATGCAAATCCAAACACAGTGAGAGAGCACATCATACCCACTAGGATGGCTACTGAATAAAAACAATAAAAGAAAAAAAAATCAGAAAATAACAAGTGTTGGAGAGGATGTGAAGAAATTGGAACCTCTCTGCACTGCTGGTAGGAATGTGAACTGGTGTTGTGCTATGAGAAAAAAGTATAACAGTTCCTCAAAAAATCAATCAATTGAATGACCAGATGATTCAGCAAGTCCAAATAATTGAAAGCACAGTTTCAAAGAGGTACTTTTAAGCCCATGTTCATAGCATTCTTCATAGAAGTGAACAGAATGGCAGTAACCCAAGTGTCTGTTGATGGGTGAATGAAAAAACTGGATCAGAAACTAAACAAAATTGGATCAGAGTCAGAAAACAAGAGACAGTGGGATGTTACTCAGCCTTAAAAAGGAAGGGAAGTTATGTGACCCAGCAACCCCCCTCCTAGGTATCTATCCAAAGGACACAAAAAACCACTGATTCAAAAGGACACCTGCAGCCCCATGTTTATTGCTGCTCTATTTACAAAAGGGAAGATGTGGCATCAACCCAAATACCCAAGAATAGATTACTGGATTTTGAAGATGTGATAACATTTACAAAATGGAATATTACTCAGCAATCAAAAAGACAAACTCATGCCTTTTGCAGCAACATGGATGGAGCTGGAAGGGATCGTGCTTAGTGAAATAAGCCAGAAAGATAAAGAAAAATACCATGTTTCACTCATAGCAGGAGCGTAAGGGATCAGGA